GGAAGAGAAGGACGCACACAATTCCGAGTTACTTGTACCAAAGAATATATTGTAAGGAAAAAAAAATCCACAAAGTTTTTTGAAGTTATTGTAACATCCATCTGTTTCATGAAAATTTGGCCTTGAGCGTGAATTGATGCCACATGAGTTAAAGAATGATCCAGCTTCAACTAGCAGAATGCTGCTGTCATTCAGAACTGGAAATGGATTCCTCAAGTACCAGGGAAATTTGGGCCTGTGAGTTTTCCTAGAAAATGGATCAGGAAACAGGTCACAAACTCTATAAAGTAGGAAGTGAAGGCAAAAAGAGTCAGAGTTTGGCTAATGCCTCATTTGATCTGCCAAACAGGCCGTTGCTGGTGAGGGCAGGCCGGCCCACTGCCATCCTGCTCCCTGCTTAAAATTCAAGCACAGCATTTACTGGCACAGTGGGGTGACACTAACCCTTCCCAAGTGTCCCTGAGGGCTGTAAGCCAAGGCAAAGGAGCAGTATTTATTTAGTTTTCATCAGCTAATATTCAACTTTGGCAGAAAAGTAATTTTAGGGGATAGTGAATAAAATACTCTTCAAGATAATTCATTCTCATCAGAAAATTCCCTGCACATGGACAGCTGCTACTCAGAGAAGAATTCTTTGTAAAAATGAATTATTATATAACAAAACATACATCCCCATAACTCCATTATAGATAGTCTAAGTCACCAGACAATGGAATGATATGCACGTATATATAAGTATCTTACAGATACTGATAGATACATAAGCAATCCAGAGCCCCATGGCTAGAAGGATAAAATATAAACGCACATTCTGCGGAGCTTGTTTAATATTTGGTCAAAATGAAATGACCTCAGGGACCCCAATTAGCTAGATTAACAATAACCAAGTTTGTGGGGCAAAGAAGGCCTTGTCTCCTTCACAACCTTGTGTGTATGGGGGGAATTTTCTGTATCATCTTCCCCATTTGGCTGCTGCCAAATGTGTAGCTGAAAGATGAAACATGGCAGCAGTTAGTGGAAAAAGCAACCACAGAAGAACTAGGCCATCTCCTTTGCACCAGCTCCTACCACAGAAACAAGGTTTGTATCTTTATAACACTACGGTTCTTAACCATATGAAGGAGTTGCTTATTTTTTTTCCACCTGCTGTCACCCTGAGAAATCTCTTGGACTTGAGAGTGATTTTGATGCTACCTCAGCTCTTCTGCCACCAGAAGCACTCAGAAGTGCTCTGCAGGCCTTGCATCAGCAATGGATTTATCAAGGTGCATTTTCTTCAACAGATAAACTTGCATTTATACATGAAATAGTATTTTTAATCTCTGATTGCCATAAAACAAATTCGTGCTCATGGTTACATATGCAAATATATGCAAAACGGTAACATTCTGTTTCTATTTTTATGTATATTATTGTTTTGAAATAAAAGCTTCTGTGTTTGGAAAGAAGGCGGACTACAAACTGCCCTGAAGAAAACAAAATCATTCACTGACACTACATAAATATTTTCTTAAAATAATTCAGAGTTGGTCTGAAGCTGAGATTTTCTGCTGTTAAGAGTCACTTAAGGAGGCTTCAAGAATAGACTAAAGCAAGACAACCCCATGCTCTGCAGACAGTGTTTCAAGACAATGATCTCTAATTGCAGATATTGTAAGAGGGCTCATTGAGTCGGATCCTGCACCCTGGGTTGCACCCGCTGCAGAGGGGATCACAAACCTGCCTCGTTAATTCGCATTACGCTCTGGATCGTGAGTCCAGCTGAAGCAGGACGAAGAGCCAAAGTGAAGTCAAAGTCCATCGTGGTTTGGGATGCGTTGCCCATACAGCATCCGACGTACACGATCAGCAGAAATGCACTCTAGTTCCAAAGAACTCGCATTTCACCCTGCTATGCCTTCTTATAGCAAATTTAAGACCATCAGGTTGGGAGAAAGGTGGTTTCTTATCTTGGAAGACCTTGCCAAAAGGCTTTTTACTAAGTTACATTAACATAATGAAAGAGGCAGACCAAAAAAAAGGTTAATTTAAGGAGCATTTCCACTCAAGCTGAACTGCCAGTCTCTAGAGACTGACAAGTCATTTGCCATCTAAGAACACAGGGGAAAAAATGCCACCCACAAGACGTTATTGTGCAACATGAGCATCCTGAAAATTCATACTCGGAACACACAGCATTCCGAGTAAAATAGGTAAGTGACAAGATATGAAGTTTCTACTCAGGGGCCAAGTGTGCACTTGGGTGGAGCACAGATTTTCTGGAAAACAGAAAGGTAAAGCCCTCATAAAAATTTCCGGATATTGCATTTCACAGTTAGAAATTAGTCTTCGACTTTATTTTTTATATCTATTGTGTGTACATACATGTATATATACACACACATATGTTTGTGTATATGTAGATATCTCTGTTCCATTTTCCACAATGTATTATTTTATCCAAGGAAAGTTTAACGTATGGTTTGAGGCCTTTCTCCTTGGGAAAAAAAAAAGGAATTTTCAAGCAGTCTTTCCATCACACAAAGCAAAGCAAGCAGAATGCACATGCCCAAAAATTACAGTAGCTGAGATTTAAATTTTTTATTTAGAAAACTTTTTACAGGATCTGCAAATTTGCACAAAAAGCAAGATCCCATATGAAGCTGCTATTTTGCATGGTTAGTTTCTTGTTTAAAAGTTTGAGGACTTTTAAACTGCTCAAAAGAAAACAAAAGCCTCAA